CTCCATTCTTTTTACCTCAGTTGCTTCTCACACTTAGGCATTATTGAAAAATCACATTAACAAAAGGTCACATCTAATTTCACGTTCCCTATGACCTACACGTGACCCAAGTCCAACCTTCGCTGTGTCCTTTCACTTGGGTTCTTTGTATTTATGGTCCTGACACAAAAAGAAGAGGTTACCTTACACCTGTTCACACTGCGCATGCGCACACAGACACATGGATGCTTGCCTTTTACTAGATAAGGAGGGTATTTGTTTAATGCTGAAAGATGAGTCACGACATAATTAAGTGCCCCCTCGGATGGAGGAGGCTGCTGTTCCTTCTGCCCCCTTCTCACCCCTGCTAATGGTCTTCCTCCCTCTGGCCTCCCTCTCAGAAGTCCCAGGGTCTCCTGCTGTGAATAATTCATGGGGACGGACAGTGTGTGTTGGAAAACAAAGCTGCTTATTCTCATACATAACCACTTACACATGAAGCTTCTTCCTGATTTCTCTTTCCAAAAATACCAGCCAGGAAAAAAAAAATCCCAGAGAAAAAGAGTAAATCTGCACAAATCCCCAGCAATCTTGCATTGGTGTTTCAGGAATGATGCCAACTGTGTGCAGTGATCACCATTTTCATACTGGTTGCCTTGGAAATGGTGCAGATAATGGCTTAGGGTGACTCATAAAGATTCTGGATGGTATCAAAGGCCTTTCGGCTTTGCCTTTCTGCAGTGCTGGTGTTTCAGCATTGGTGGTGGAGCTCATTGTGTACATCTGATGGTGGGTCCTGAACGCTGGGTACAACATTGTGACTCACCTTTCCTCGAATATGTTATTGTGAAAAACTTCAAACATAGAGTAGCACTAAAAGAACTGACCCAATGTCCCCCCACCACCTAATGTGGTAGTAAAATTGCTCTCACGTTCCTATCCACCCCACTTAATGCACTTCAGAGTAAGTTGCAAACATCTGTACACTTCACCCTTAGCATGAATATTACTAAGATTTGATCATGTTGATCGCAGCTTTTTAGGTAGAAAGTATATAAAGTCAAATGCACATATTTCAAGTGGACTTTTGAAGCGTTTTGACTGCACCAGCGTAAACTCCATTGAGATCTAGAACCTCAACACTTCCACTGATAAACTTCCCTGCCTACCCTACACCCAGGGGCCACGCTGCTGATGTGTTCATTTTTAACCAAGGTTAGAGCAGCACATAAATAGCATCATTTTGTGCAAGGTTTCTTTCACTCAGCACTCATATCAGTCATTTCGTGGACCAATCGTTCATCCATTTTTATTTTTAAGTAGTTACTGGACCACGGTTTGTTTATCCATCTTTCAGTGGATGGACCCCAGGGCTATGTAAGTTTGGAAATAGTATAACTAAAGCTGCTATAAACATTGGAGGATAGCTGTTTGGGGGTGTATTTATCTTGGCTAAATATCTAAGAATGGAATTGGTGGATCATAGAGTCGATGTACATTGATTTTTGTAAGAGACCACCTGACCTGTTTCCAAAGGAATTATTCTACTTTTCAGTTTAACCAATAAAGTCTGAGCTTTCTGGTCACTCCATCTCCTACCAAATGCTGTCAGTCTTTTTTTAAGTATGGCCATTCTGGTGGGAGTGTAGTGGTGTCTCTTTGTGGTTTTTAATTTGCATTTTCCCTGATGACTAATGATCTTGAGTTCTTTGGATATTTTCAAATTTTTGCTCATTTTTAATTAGGTTGTTTGTCTTTGTTATTGAGTTATAGGAGTTTGTTATATTCTGCATGATATTCTTGACACCATTCCTTTTCATATAAAAGTTTTATATTTTATTCCCATCTATAATTTGCCTATTCATCTTAAATGGGTTTTTTATGAGCAGATTTTTAATTATTTTGATGAAATCTAGTTAGCGTTTTTCTTTTCATGGTTATTGTTTTCTGTGACCCACCACATTACTCATATTTTCATCACTACAACAAAATACTTGACACAAGCTACTGACAATGAAAGGGGGGTTTATTTTGTCACAGTTCTGGGGGCTCAAGGCCATGGTGCCTGCATTCCTTCCTGCATTGGCCAGTTCAGGTGAGGACCTCATGGTGAATGGTGAATGGTAGAGAACATGCAGGAGCAGGCAAGTGACTACATCTTCAATCATGAGAACTAACTCAGTCCAATGACCTAAAGACCTTCCAAGAGGCCCACCCCCTTTAAGGGTCTATCACCCTCCAATAGGGCCATCCTGGGGACCAAACCTTTGACCACATTGGGCCCTTGGGGGACACTGAAACTATAGCCAAACCATAGCCTCCATTTAAGAAAGATTTGCTTCTCCTCAGGACACGAGGAAGCAAACACACTCTTGTGTATTTCTCTAGGAGTTTTATAACCTTGGTATTTAGGACCATGATCCATCTCAAAGTGCTTTTTGTGTATAATGAGTAGGAGACAGGGATGTTTTTATTCAATGAGGATATTCAGTTGTTCCAGCACATTTGGTGAAAAGACTTTGCTTTTCCTATTGTATTGCTTTGGCGCCCTTGTCAAAAATTAGTTGGATGCACAAATATTAGTCTGTTTCTCAACTCTTTTTTCCATCCCATGGAAATATTTGTCTATACCACTGTTGCACTGTTCAATTGCTGTAGCTTTATACCAAGTCCTGAAATCAAGTAGTGTAAAATCTCTGGCTCTCTTTTTCAAGGTTGTTTTGAGTCTCCTAGGGTCTTAAGCTTTTCTATGCAAAACTGGGACTCAGATTTATGTGTTTTTACCCAATAAAAACCTACTAGAATTATGGTTGATATTAAATTGAATCTGTTGATAAAATCAGGGCGGACTGACTTCTTAGCAGTATTGATTCTTCTAATCCATGAACATGGGATACCTCTCCAGTTATATGGATCTTGCTTAGTTTTTCTCAGCAGTGCTTCATAGTTTTCAGTGTATAGATCTTGCCCATCTTTGGTTGAATATAGTTCTAAGCATGTAATTTTTATACTGTGTTAGTCAGCTTTCTACCACTATAACAAAATGCCTGAAATGATCAATTAATAAAGAAAAAATAAAATAATAAAGAAAATAAAGAAAAAAGAAAGAAAAAAGTTCATTTTGGTTTATAGTTTTGGTGCTTCCAGTTCATGATCAATTGCCCCATTGTTTTGGGGTTATGGTGAGCAGCATATCATGGAGGGAACACATAGTGGGGCAAAACTGCTTGACTCATGAACAGGGAACAAAAAGAGAAGAAGGGGGCCAGGGTCCTCAAATCCTCAAGGCCATGCCCCAATTACCTAAAGACCTACCATTAGGTCCCACCTCTTTTTTTTTTTTTTTTTTTTTTTGCCGTACTGGGGTTTGAACTCAGGGCCTTATGCTTGCCAGGTAAATGTTCTATCACTTGAGCACACCTCCAGCCTGCAGTCCCACCTCTTAAAGGCTCTACCACCTCCCAATATCACCACTTTGGGAATCAAGCTTTTAACACATGGGCCTTAGTGGTGGTGGGCAGGGGGGCATTTAAGATCCAAACTATAGCATATGCCATTATAAAAAAAATTAAAAATTTTTTCCTGCTATTACATGATTCGCTTTTGTGATGTGTATGTTTAGACAACCTTACCACTTACTTTTTTAAATCTTCATGTACACATTGCCTTTACTTTCATACAATAATTTCTTTTGACTTAAGTATACTTTTAAAACATTTTAAAAATTATTTTATCATTTTTACTTTTACTCACGTGTATACATTGTTTGGGCCACTTCCCCTCCCCCCTGCCACTACACCCACACCCAACCATTTACATTAAAAAAAAAAAAACTAAACTAACATCTACTTTATTGATCCCTTTAAAGAGGCAACATAGAGGTGGGTGGGTTGAGCTCCAGCCTGAGACCATACTTCAGTCCCAGTGTGCTTCTTACTAGCTGTGTAAACTTGACCAAGAATGACAGCTTTCTCTTCCTGCTTCTGCTATCATTCAACACCATTCAGAACTTAACTCTTTATTCATTACAGTCTTTTCTATAACACCCATGAAAATAAAGCTTGTAACTCTTGTTCATTAGTCACTATGGAAATCTGGTAGAGGCCTGAATTTTCTTCCCCAGAGAACAAAGAAAGTAGGGGGTGGGAGGGAGAAGGAGAGGGAGAGTTTTGAGTTTTGTGTACAACTTTCATATGTTCAGGAAACTCCTGAAGCATGTTTATCAGCCTTCTGGGCTGATCTGGGACAAAGGGCTGATCTGCTTATCTTTTGTGTCTTCAACACCCAGCACAGTGCTTGCCTGGGTCCCAGCTGAGGAAGTGCCTCCTGCATTTATTAAGTGGCCCTAGCCCTGCAGTAGTCTTCTGCAAAACTGGCCTCTCCCCCACCAGGTGTTTAGTTGACCTGGAAGTCCTAGACCTTCCTCCATCCACACAGGCTCACATCTACCCTTAGAGAATAGAGATGCCTCTGTGGTGAAGTCCCAGTTCAGAATGGCAGAGTCACGAGGTGTCTGAGGGACAGTCACACTTGTGGACCAGTGTTTCAGAGGATTGCCTAAGATCTTCGTGTGGTGTGTCTGTGATGGAGCAGGTGTGAGTGAGGGCTTGGGGAAGGGTAGAGATGTCCATATCCCCTCCCCTGATGGACAGAGCAAGGGGATGTTTGACTAGGACCACCCATCTCCCCCACTGCTGTCTGCAAAGTCAGCCTGGCAGCCTCCCACCAGGCAGCTACCCTGGGTGCCTGGAACAGCTCCAGGTGACAATCTTGCTGCAGAATCCTCCAAGCTGTGTGCCTGCTACTTCAGCACCAGCCCTGGGAAATCTTCTCCTGAAGGATTGCAGGTCCCCAGGGAAACTGGAGCCTGGTGACAACAGCGCTTCAGGGCCATCCTTTCTCATTCTGCAGCCCCCAGAATTATGTCATAGATGGCTCATCCCTCTGCTGTCATCTCTGATGACTACCCAGAGCCCACAGGCAGTGACGGTGACACTCTGTGTGTGCTTCCTCCTGCGCAGGTGCCGGGGACATGGGCAACAAACCGTCCCTGCCTGGCAGGGACTCCACAGCGCGATCCCCCAGGACAGATGACATTCTTACCGCCTACAAGAAGAGAGACCTCAGCAGGGCCCGTGACCTGGTCAGGGAGGCTTGTGATGAGAGCTCATCCCAGCTGGAGAAGGTAGGGGACACAACTGCAGTCCTGGATTGGACAAGAGCTATTGCTTCGATTCTTTCCTACCAAAAAAATCTTAATAAGGATTTTCATTGCCTTCTGGAGATGCCTCATTTTGCAAATAAACTTGTAGGTGTCACTTTGACTAGTTGACATCTTTGCAGAATGTCATCACAGAAGCAGGTCCTTTGCCATCATCTTTCCATGTTAGGCCTTTAAGGGACATGGGGTGTCCCTTAAATGTTCACTTAAATGTGAAGAACAAAATGCCATCTGTAGATTTAAACTACTGTATTCTTCATACTTTTTTCCATTGCAAAAAAATAGCACATGCTGAAAAAAGAAAACTAAAAAAATCTATAAATGTAGAGGGGGGGAAAAAGAATTTTAAAAACTATATTTCTAATGCACCCAAACAATCTTTCTTAACTGTATTGGTGAATTTTCTTCTAGCCGACTGATCTGAATATATATTGTTACCTCTAATATAGAAGCAATATTGTAACAGTGTACTGTTACCTACACAGTGTATTGTATAATGCCATATTGTAGATATACTTTTGTTTATATAGTCATATTACATATACTTTCATTTATATTTCCTGATCTCACCTAATATTATGCCAAGAATTTTTCTTATAACTACAAATTCTTTATAAGCATCACCTTCAATAGCTGCACAATCCATCTGATAGAGCATAATTTAAATTTAATTTACTCCTTGTGGTTGGATATTTGGATTATTTCTAATCTATTATCAATAATGTTGTGTTAAATCTTTTTTCCTGCACCAGGCTTGATGGCACACTGCTGCTAGCTCAGCTACTGGGAAGGTGGAGATCAGGAGGAGTGTGGTCTAAAGGTTGTCCTGGGAAATAAGTACAAAACCCTACCTGAAAAATAACTAAAGTAAAAAAGGGTTGTGGAGTGGCTCAAGTGGTAGAGCACCTGCCTAGCAAGCATGAGACCTTGAGTTCAAACCCCAGTACTGAAAAAAAAAAAAAAAAGAGGGATTTTCAGGAATTCAGGGTGTAGGTATAAGCCTTTTTAAAGTTTTGAAACATGTGCTAAACTGTTTTCCAAAGAGCTTGTACAAATCAACCTTTCCGCCAATAATTCAAGAGGACCATGTTCTTTCCCCTGTCAGGGATAAGAATTTAAGAACTGGGTCTTAGTATGGATGGAACAGAGGAGTGTGGGAGAGTGCAGAGACTCACAACTGTAATCCTAGCTTCTCAGGAGGTAGAGATAGGATCACAATGAAAGATGAGCCTGAGCAAAAAGTTCACAAGACCCCATCTCAACCAAGAAAAGCTGGGCATGGTGGTGCAACCAGTCATCCTAGCTATGTGGAAAGCACAAATAGAAGAATCAGCATCCAGGCATAAAAATGAGACCCTATCACAAGAAGGTCTGCAGAGTGATTCAAGTGGTGGAGCGCCTCCTTAGCAAGTGTGAGGCCCTGAGTTCAAACCCCAGTACCACCAAAGAATTGGATCTCATTATGGAAATACTTTATTGATGTTTTGTTTGTAGTACTTAGATTAGCCTCAACTTAATCTGTCTCTATTGAATTCATAGTTAGAAATAATTTGATTCTTAATCATCTAACCTGTTCTCAAAACTGGAAAAGATTGACAGTAGGGGTCAGGTACAGTGTTCCTCAATGAATTCCTGGGATTCATTGAGGGGAGGGCATTTGGGTTCTCTGTGATTATTATTAACTCATGCCATATAAGGGAAAGACCACCCTTCTGTATGGGGCAGTGGCCTAACTCTTCCATTCGCAGAAGACTGCTACATGAACCTGAGTGTGTCCAGGCCATAAAATACCATGCAGTACTCCAAAAGAACAGCAGCTATTTCTAAAAGTTCTCCAATATAATTGAAAGATATCTACTTTCAGTAAGAAGGGGGAAGATAGAATAGATGTACTTTCCCCTTTCCCTCTTGCTAAGCGCACCTAAGAACCCTGGGCATTGCTTATACAACAAACAGAAGATTCTGGAAGGTGGAGAGAAGAAGGCAAACCAACCAGTGATCTCAGGATTCAAGGACAGCATTGTGATGAATTTTGGGATTTTCTTTTTACTTCACACATCCCAGACTGGATGTTGAAGAAGCCAGTAGCTCCAGAAACACAAACTGGCTCAAGAAAGAAGCCCCAAGGAAAACCTGAACCAAATGACAGCTTGGGAAGACAGAAGACTTACAGACAATGGCCAGTCTACGTCAGCCAAACACACAGAAATGCCTGTAACTCAGCCTGACCCTGTGACAGCAGAGGCCACTGGAGAGTCTGACTTCTAAATTTGCCAGGCTGCCCCAGTCATCCCCACCCCCAGGGTGACAGAGAAGACCCTGGGAGCTGTGATGCTCATCTCCACCCCATCAGTGGAGACCATGTTAGAAACCTGGTCCTCCATCCTCCAGGCAAGCCTGGCAGGAGGATCTGTAGCAAGTCTAGTGATGAACCCAAAAGCCCACCCTTCTCAGCAGTAACCAGAAGTCCCTCCTCATTGGGTGTTTAACAGATTCTGAAGAGGGTGGCTAGGTTTCCACCCCACTGGGCAGTAATGAATCAGCATTGCTGTTCATCCACCAGAGCAGAGTCAAAAAGAAAAAAATCACAAGGATGAAAATAAAATCTGAGTCTTAAAATATACTGCCCAGATGTCCAGGTTCTAATACAAAAACAAACAAACAAACAAAACAAAACTCACACTAAGAACCAGAAAAATCTCACTCAGTGACAAAGACACCTAACAGATGCCAGCAGCAGGATGACTCAGATGTTAGAAATATCTGACAAGGATTCTATAGCAGACATCATAAAATGCTCAGTGAGCAGGTATCAGCATGCTGAAGTGAAAATAGAAAGTTTCAAGGAGGAATAGAAGGCTCAGCAAAGAAATGGAAGATACAAGGAGAGCTAAATGGAAATTTTAGAACTTAAAAAATAAGAGCCCAAGTTTTCTTTTTTCTTTCTTTTTTTTTTTAGTAAGCAAATAGATGGGCTTAAGTCTAAAAGGGAGAACACAGGGGAATGAATCAGTGAACTTTGAAGCTAGAACCATAGAAATTACCCATTCTGGAAGCGGAGTGGCAGAGAGAGAGAGAGAGAGAGAGAGAGACAGACAGACAGACAGACAGACAGAGTGAGAAGAGAACTGAAAATAAATTAACAGATCCTCACAAACACATGAAATATTAACTGAAGATCTAATATTCGTGACTTCAAAGTTCCAGAGAGGGAGAGAGTGGAAAGTAAGGCAGGACTAAAGAGTATTCAAAGAAATAGTGGTTGAAAACTTCCCCCAAAGCAAAAAAGACATAAAGGAATAGGTTCAAAAAGTTGGGTGAATCCCAAGAAAGCTAAAATCCAATGAAATGCATTTCAAACATTTCATCACGAGACTGAAGAAAACAAAAGACAGCACAAACAAAAAAATTCTTGAAAACAGTCAGAGAGAAAAATATTTCCTTTAGGAGAAAAACAATTCAAGTGACAGTGAATTTCTCAAAAGAAATCATGGAGACCAGAAGGAAGCAGCACAACATTTTTCTTCATGTGCTGAAAGAAAAAAAAAAAGTCAACCCAGAATTCCATAATCAGAGAAAATATCCCTTAGGACTGAAGAGAAAATAAAGACATTTTGTAGTGACGGTAAACTAAGAGAATTAATTACCAGAAGACCTCCCCTAACAGAATGTCTAAATGAAGTTCTCTGAACAGAGAGAAAATGAGAAGGAATTTTGGAATACCCAGAAAGAAGAAAGAATAGAGTAAGAACAAAATATGGTTGTAAATAAAATAAATTTTCCCTTTTTATCTTTAGTTCTTTAAATTATATTTGATGGGCTCAAGGCAAAAATTACAACATTGCCTACTGTGGCTCTTAATAGAGAGAGAGGAAATGTCTATGAAAAGGCAATTTTTTTGTGTGTGACAGCACTAGGGTTTGATCTCCAGATTCGTGCTTGCTAGGCAGCCACTGTGCCTCCAGTCCTTTTTTGTTTTAGTAATTTTTTTTTTTTTTGCTTTAGTTATTTTTCAGATAGGGTCTCATGGTCTCAGACTGTGATCTTCCTACCTATGCCTTCTGTGTAGCTGGAATATCGGCATGTGCCACCATGCCCAGCTTGTTTGTTGAGATGTAATCTCATTATCTTTTGGCCTGGGTTAGTTTTGAACCTTGATCCTTCTGATCTCCACCTCCATAGTAGGTGGGATTATAGGTGTGCATTGCCACACTCACCAAACAATTGTTTTTCAAATGGAGGAGGGAAAAATAATACAAAGAATAAGTTTTTTATATTCTGAGCAAACTGCCAAAAATTTTTTTGATAAGTCACATATCTCTAATGCAATATGTAGAACAACTACTAAAAAACAATATACAGAGATATCTGAAAAAAAAAACCCTCTATAGATCAACCAAAATGGAATTCAAAAAATTCCATTTTGAATTTCTGTTTAAGTAACTCACAGAAAGACAGAATAAAGAAAACAGACAAATAAAAAAAAAAAAAAGCAAACGAGAAAACAAAAAAAAATCACCTGGCAGACATAAGCCTGAACTACTAAGTAACAATAATAAACATAAATGGTCTAAGTGCATGAACTTTAAGAGTTTGGCAGATTGGATTTAAAAAAAGGAGAATAAGCAACTAAAAATTGTAAGAAACTCACTTTAAATACCATGATACATGTAGGTTGAAAGTAAATGGAGGAAAAATATAGCCTATGCAACATTCATCAAAAAAAGTAAGAGTGACTATATTAATTTCAGATAAATTAATCTTCAGAACAGCAACAACAAAATGCCATGGACAGAGAGAGCTGTTACATAATAATAAAGGACTTGACCCATCAGGATGACATAGCAATCTTAAATGTATATGCACCAAACAACAGAGCTGCAGAATTTGTGAAACAACAGTGATACAACTGGAATAAGAAACAGATAAATTCACACATTTAGTTGGAGATTTTGACACCCTCT